AACATCTTTTGTGTAGTTTCATTTAGTGATAAAGATACATGGCTTTCTGAAAAAATATTCAAAAATAAAACCAAAGGAGCAAATTTTCCTATGAATTTTCTATTTTCTTCCATCTTTTAATAGCTATTACATCTGCATTTGCATTTACTTTCTGTAACAGAAGAGAATTTGTCCCAAAGGCAAACATTATATGCTGCTTTAAAACTAAAAGCTCTGTAGTAAAACACAGAATTTAAAATGCACATATAAAAATAGCTGAGGGTGAGTTAACAGGCCATGAAGCTGAATAATATCACACTAATTCTAAGAGAAAATAAAGATCACTGTTTAAGAGTACTTTTGTTTAACTGATAATGCAGCCTTTATAAATGGGTACGAGTTATTGGTGAATTTAACTGGCAACTTTTCTCATTAGAGATCACTATCCAAATCTAAACAAATACTAGTATTTGGATTCTAAGTGTTAAAAAAGTGTGTTTGCTTAATTAGTTGGTTCATATTCATAGTCCAAATAATTGACTATCTTTAAAACAATTCAAAAAGGACAAAAAACCCTACAGTATTGGAAAATTCCGTTACAGACCCTTCAATTCACATTGAACAGTTTAAATATAGAAGTTCACTATCTTTAAACAGTCTTATAAAGGGAATTCACTATATTCAAATAATGTGCCATCTTAAAATGAACTAAGCCACAGAGATTATGAAATGCCAACAGATGGTTGAATTGTGTTTCCATAGCAAAGTAATTTATAATAATTGCTTTATGGATGCGAGTGCAATTTTCATTATATTCAATTCATAAAATGTTATCATACAGCTGCAATTTGTGATATTTTCTATTAGGAAAAGTGTTGAATATTTGAGTTCCTATGAAGCAATAATTAGCAGTTGGTCTAAACATGTATAAACTACAGATCTGAATCTGCCTCTTCCTCGTAATGTACAGACTACACTGTGTTGAACATATTTTGAAATCGTAAGCTAAAAAGAAAAAACTCACAGAGTAGCAATGTGTTGTGGCTAACACAGCCTTCCGCTTTTTTTCAGATCCATTAGTACCATAATTTTAAGTTGAGATTTTCAGAAACGTCCAACAATTTGACAATTAATAATCTAAAAAGATGTTAAAATGATACAAATCTACATTTTCTAGATACATTTTCCAACTGTGTTTATTTCTCTATTATAAGAGGAGACAAGACTTTCTGGGGTGGGGTGGAGTGAGCATTACAGCTACAGTGCTGTAAAATGTACTAGGTCAGAAATTATTAACTTCAATTCTTAGTTTCGAATCCTCAGCAACTTATTTATCAAGAACAATATAAACTTGGAGAACTGGAATTGATTTGGAGTGAGCATTACAGCTACAGTGCTGTAAAATGTACTAGGTCAGAAATTATTAACTTCAATTCTTATTTTCGAATCCTCAGCAACTTATTTATCAAGAACAATATAAACTTGGAGAACTGGAATTGATTTTGAGTTTGAACTGAGTGAGCATTATGTGTTAATTTTTAATATTATTTAAAAAATATGACTTTAAGTGTACATCTCTGAAAGCCGCCTAAGATTAGTCTTCACTTTAAAAAAAAAAACAATAAATGTCGTTCCCTTAATCCATTCATTCTTGGTTACTCTGTCCTCATCCACATTTTGCCTTACTGGAATCTCACAATAAAGTGTAATCATACATTTGTACATGAAAAATGTGGACACTAAGGAAATATATGTGAACCTGTTACTATCTCCTGACACAATAAAATCCCAATATAACGAATTCTCATTAAAGTATACCAGAATTATAATGATGGTCATTACACAGAATTATGGACTATACCACTGATCGAATTTAGACGACTGACAAGGAAAAATGCAGAGGGTGCAAGATATTTGAATTTTACGCAGTTGCAGGACTGTGCGACCGACATTCTTGACAAGAAGCAGCCAATTATAGCTTAAATTTCTGGCACATAACCAGTTGTGATTAATAGTTTTCCATTACATTACAGACATATTATTAATGTATTAAAAATGTCAAGCTTTGGCAAGCACTAATATGGCATGGCTCAGTTAGTCTGCAGAATTTACATTTAATGAGCTCCCATTGACACAGAAAAAGATATTGACCACAGCATATTACAGATCAGGAGCAGAGGGTCACTAAGCCGTTCTTTAACATAATTATTTGATTTCATTATAGTTTTTATGTTTGTAGTATCGCCTAATAGGTATCCTTCATTTCTGGGTCTCCTTACTTTTTAGTGCCGCATATACTTCAAAGAAAATTCTCTTAATTTCCAATTAGTAAGAAATTAAATCTATGAACTTCCATGACACACAGTGGGAAAGAAGCCTCTGTGAAAATCAGGAATTTGCTAGTAAAGTATAACTATGGAGTTTTCAAAGAAAATAAAATGATGTAAAAACAGGACATTATTTACACCTTAATCTCCACTACCTAATGGCACTTGTTCCCATCTGGTTATGCTTTCAACCAGGTTAAAACTATCAATAGCTTCTTAAAAGCTAGGTCATCACAGCAAAAAGCTAGGCAAACCGATTATGAGAAGGACATTCAATGACAGATTTGGGGACTTAATATACTAACTGCATCCCTTCCTGCCCATAACTGAACTAACTGCCAGTAATGTGGCCCTTGAATTTGTTTCGGGTGTCCATATGACCTAAACAAGAGCAGCTTCAGAAAAGCTCTGAACAACTCCAGTTCTAGCTCTCTACCTTGCGAACCTTGGGAATTACTGAAATCAAAAAATGCCATCATTTCTACCTGTGAACTAAAGTCCTGAGAAGTCCTCCTAGATAAAAATACCCATTAATATGATGCAAGTACTCCATAGACCGCTGGTGTATAAACCTGTGGAGCCAATGAAAAAATATAAAATTATGTCATGGCCTTCAGGTTGATAGATACTATTGATCAGGACTAAAACGGGCTATAAAATGTCTTTGCATAGAACACAATACATGGAACACATACTTTTCCAGGATTTTGTAACTAATTCCTTTCCACCTTGGATTAACTTTGCAGAAAACATTTCATAGGCCCTTTATCTCATTTATCAGAAAAAAAAAGCCTCCCATAATATTACATGGAAGAAATAATGATTAAAATGATAGACAATTATATTCCAAAAGCAACTGCCAATTTCATCAACTGAGAGAAAAATATTGCCAGTAAATCTACTAACTTTAACTGGCTTTCAGCATTAGTTTTATTACATAATCTCACTAGGAGGTAGGGGTGGTGGTAGTAGGCTATTTATTTCATAAATTTTCAGCTCTTCAGGGACACCTGAAATAGACAGCTATTGACTCATTTCTTATAGACATTAAGAATTTTATAAATATGCATGTTTCTGAATGGGAAGGAACAAAAGGAAAATTCACTGTAATCATACACCATTGTGTGAAAAATATAAAGAGGTAAAGATACACAAACTGCAAAACCTATCAAAATTAGTAGCTTCCGACACAGTCATAATGAAATTTATTACATGAGATATTTTAACATATATTAAATGCTCTTTGCACTTATTTATCTGTCGTGAAGAAAGCATTTTCCAGACACCTTAAAGGGAAACATACATTTCTATTCTCTTGTTAACTCTCAAAATATAAGGAATTTAACATGTGCTTCAACATCACTGGCATATCTTACTCATATTTGATTGGATATTATGAGCAACTACCTATCATGAGACTCTTAATAAAACCAAATAACATACCTTAGTATTTGAAAGATCTCTATATCCACTGAGAGAAGCCTGATAAGATAAATTAGCACATATTTTACAGGGTGTTTGGAGATGTGATAATATATAAAATTACTTCAGAATCA